ACATGCGGATTCATTCCATTAGTCGATAATGCCAAGCGAAGGTTTCTAGCTTCTTCTCCAAAATCAGGATACTCATTATCAATTTTCATCCACTGTGGTGAATCTGCCGGATGTCGATACTTCCCATCTATAATTCTATCATATGCATGCCAAGTCAGGTGTTTTGCATCTGTTTCACTACGAAACATGTGTTTAAATCTCAGAATTATAGGAAAATACCATAAGACTTTTGCTGGTGACAAATTTTTCTTATACCGAGATACACCGCATTTAGGACACTCGTTTAATGATGCATATTCATTTCGAAACAAAATGCAATCATTTGGACAAGCATGTATCTTATCATAGCTCATGCCAATAGAGCATAACATTTTTTTTAGCTTCATAGGTTCAATTGGGAAGAACATTATCCTTCGGAAGCATCTCTTGAATTAGGGCTAACAACTTTGTGAAACTTTTATCCAACCATCCATTACCCGCCTTTAAGTTGTACAACTTTAATACCGCAGACAATCTTGTGAAAGTAGTGCAACCTTTATACAACGGTTTCTCTGCATCGCTTACCAACCTCTCAAATATCTTGGGACAATCTTGAAGATCTTCTTCAAGTGCTTCTGCAATCTCTTCGACTCAATCACAATCATATGTATCCGTGTCATTGTCCTTTGAAGCATAGGTCGTATTATCCCTCGGTTCAACATTCTCGTTACTTATCTCACCATGTAATGTCCAACATGTATAACTTCGATCAATTCCATGTCTCATTAAATGAGATTCCAACTGAACAGCGTCAATTCAACGCCCATAACAGCAACCTAAGCAAGGACATGTGATCCTACTGGGGTCTTTGGCGCATTCAACAACAAACTTAACAAATTTTGATACCCCATTCTCGTACTCTTTTGACAATCGATTAGAAAACATCCAATTTTTATCCATACTAAATAAGTAGCCTAACTAAACTAAGAAAGTTAAACAAAAACAACGAATACCTGTGAAGAAATCACCAACTTCTAAGAAAGCTACACAGTAGGATGCTTGGAAACGATCACAACCTTGCTCTTCACACGTAACCCCTATAACAGACAAAGTTAATAACATCATTAACATTAAATGATTCTTGGAACATCAATTGTTTCTTGATGATGCCGGTGATGCAAATCAAATGTAAAATACCAAATTGTAACAGCATACTACATAAACATTTCATAAATACTTAAACCGAAACCTTGCATAGCAGAAAGTTGCAGAAAATTTTAAACACCATAAAGATTGCAAATAAGCCACATACGAATCTCATGATATTACAAATTCAACTTAAATTAATCATGTAAGAAAAAGAACGACCTGAAGCCGTTCGATGTGCATTCAACACGACCTAAAAACGCAGCAGGAGCTTAATCAAAATCTTGCGAAAAAACAAAATAAAAACGTGGGAATGAAATTAACACCATACAATCATGAAACTTGAATGTCATAATCACGACATCTATGGTCGAGAGTTTACCTCAACAATAACAACAACAATCCAAAATCATCACAATATTTGAAATCGACATTCTACAGAACCGAAATTGGATTAACAACAGTAGTAACTAAACCAGTTAGTAATTACAAGGTAAGCAGAACAAATACGCACTCATAACACATACGGCGGTCAAATACACAAAAAACAAATATGTTCTTGATTTCATGTATCAATTTGAAGCGAAACAGAATTCTACGCAAATTACAGAAACATTAGTAATGACAGTATGCATTCAAAACCAATATTACATTCCATTGTGAATTCAATTCATGTCAAGCAATCAATATGTGTGCAGCAAATGTAATATCTATTTCCACTTCAAAAAGTATATATCAAGAATATCCAAAGTTTCATCCATTTTTGTTTTTACAAAATACATTTCGTGCAAAACTAAATTTCCATAAACTATTACAAAGTACATTTCGAGCAAAAAACAGTATTATGAAAAAAAATACTCCAAACTATTCTACTATTCCAACTTTCCATAAACTTTCCATAAACTTTCACAGGGAGGCTTTCTAACTGTGTAGACCATGTTCATTAACATCTTAGAAGATTAATGGTAGTTGAAGCAGAGTCTAGTATATGATATGCACGAACCTGCAGAATGACGGTCGGAGGCGAAATGGATGACGACAAAAATGGACAAACAACGACGAACGATAATGCAGACGGAATGAAGGGAGGACGGCGACGGACGACGGCTGTCGGACGGAGGGAATGACGTTTCCGGTCGTGGTGAATAGGGTTCACGAGAGGAGAAAGAACGAAATCAGAATACAACTGTTAAGTTTCTGAACAAATTCTGGTGGTTTTTTTAAATTTATTCTCATTAAACCTATAGCAGCGCTTTTGAAAAGCGCTCTCTAAGGTATGCCTTAGGCATGACCTATAACAGCGCTTTTCAAAAGCGCTTTCTATTGTACCACCTTTAGCAGCGCTTATGAAGAAAGCGCTTTCTTAGACCCCCCCTTTAGCAGCGCTTTTAGAAAGCGCTACTATAGACCCCCCCTTTAGCAGCGCTTATAGAAAGCGCTTTCTTAGGTCATGCATTTAGCAGCGCTTTTTCTTAAAGCGCTGTCTAAGGTTTCCTATTTTTTTTCTTTTTTTTTCTTGAGTCTTTAGCAGCGCTTTTTAAAAAAGCGTTGTCTTTGTATGCACTGCTAAAAGTCAATTCTGGCGTAGTGAATAAAGGTGCAATTTAAGCAGAAATCTGAGATTTCCTCATATTCAATATCTTTAAAAAAGCGAAGCCAACCTCTTCCATGAGAATCTTAAAACAGATACCTTTAGTAAGATCCAAAAAAACCAAGACCCTAACAAAATGACCAAAAATTCGTTCAAATAAGGGTTTATTTAAAGCCGAGTCAATGCAAATTGGAGGTTTCGACGCTGCTAACAATGGCAAAAATGATCCGGGGTTTCTAGTATTCTTGAGCAAGGCCATGAATCCTGATCCAGACTTGAGCAGATGTTTATTTTAAAGTAGAAAGGACGAAATCCCTAGTCCAAGGGAAGAGCTTTAAGACTCCAACATTCAAATTCAAAGAGTTTACATATCTAATATGATGTACATCCTCAAGTGAGGAGAAAGAGAATTCGAAGAAATCTTTTCCTAAAGATCTGACTCTCCAATGTTTGAGAGAAGACTATACCTCAAATAGTTTAAGTTTCAAAGAAGCAACCGTTAGAGGGGTTGTGCCCCTGACCCATATAATTCTACCTTGGAGGTGGTGTTTACACGCTTCAACACCGAGCTTGTATTCATCCTCCTAGATGGTGATGGCAAGCCAGTCACCTTTGAGACACGTGGTAGGTAACCGACTAAGGGGAATGTTACAAATGTTGTTTTTGCTGACTACCGCTGCAAACGATTTCTCAAACTTTTGGTCGAGTGCTTTTTAAGATCCTAGAAAGAAGGGGCATCATGGTTGGAGGTTTTAGGGAAGAGAGTATGAAAATCCATGAATAGACAATTAGATAGATGCAGAAGAAAATTAGATCAACTGTGTTCACACCATGCTTCCTATTACAAACAAGTTAATTATGGACCATAGTCAGAAATGCACAATCAAAACAAATTACTTATTATATATGAACTAGTATACTTATCTCATGGAAATCTATGCAACACAACATAACAATAATATTATCAAATCGTGTGAAAATTTTAGCACAACATAAGTCAAGTCCAGAATGTCTTGTAGATGAGATTTCAGATTCAATCCATACAAAAAAAACATGTGAGTTATCTTCAATAAAAAATTACTATGATGATTTAAGAAGGATACAATCATATTCATATATATTTAAGAAAATATTACAATAAAGCTGACATAACAAATACTTCCTTTGTCCCAAATTATAAGACGTTTTGAGCATTTCACACAAATTAAGAAACTTAATTATTACTTTATGAGAAAGACAAATTATGTATGACTTTACAATAATGTTATTCATAATTACACAGAAAAGAGAAATAAAAAGAGTTGAAAGAATAAATAATAATAAATATTTGAGAGTATATCGAGAAAATGTCATTAATATAACATTGAGAATACAAAGAGATTAATAATTTATGACAATTATTTTTGACAAAGTGACTTATAATTTGAGACAGAGATAATACTATATTACAAGATCACCCCGGTAATGGTATCTTTCAAACAACTACTACAAAAGATAGTCGATATCATGCACTTTTTTTTTATATCATTGTGGTTTTGTCCCATTGAATTTTTCTAGTAAAGTTTTTAAGGTTTAAATGATATTATATTCTTTTCTCTTCTTTAGATTTTTTTTTATTGTGTTTATTTAAAGCTTAAACAAGAGATATCATCGATAAATATCGATAAATATTTAGTGTGTATGTTATAAATGACATGATTATTGATGTTATTGACTAATGAGTTTTATATTGATTATCTATTTATTACTTGTCATATAAATATTATTCATATTGTATTAGAAATGCACTTGAATGAGATGATAAATAATATTTTCTTTTGTTTTAGAATAATTTTTATAATTGATACTTTCATACAAATTAAAAAATATAATAAATAAATAAAAAAGAGAATAATGATCTTATTAAATTATCCTTGTCATAAGTTAATTTTAAAAAAATAAATTAAAATATAAAAATTAAAATTGTCAAAATTAATAAATATTTTAGAATAAATAATTTTTTTAAATAGGACAATTATTGTTGTAAGGAGGAAGTACTTTTTAAACTTCAATCAGAGATCTTTAATTCGAAGTCACTCTCAGCACATATGAGTTAAATTTCGCCACCATAATCCTCTCAGATTCAACGGATTAATCTTGCATATTTGTGCAAATGATACTCGATATCTTGAAGTGTGGAAAGACTCTTTTTTAATACTAGAAATTGGCCACTCTTCTTGACTGGTTGGTCGTCACCGAAAAACAAGGCCCGCATTTCTATTTCTGTATGTCTTCATAGATCTCTATGACTCGCCTGAGGAAACTTAGCACCGCTCTCGGAGCTGTCGCAGCCACTGCTTACGGCGGTACAATCCTTCTCTCCCCTCCTTTATCATCCAACGATCAAGGATCTCAGCTCTCTGCCTTCCAACAGAAGATCCACGACCCTGCCGCCGTCCTCCCGTCCAGACAAGTTCAGCAGTCGTCACTTATCGGCTCCTGCTCCGCTAACCCTCTTGACATTCTCGTAATTGGCGGCGGAGCCACCGGTTCCGGCGTTGCCCTTGATGCCGCCACACGTGGACTCCGTGTCGGCCTCGTTGAAAGAGAGGATTTCTCTTCTGGAACTTCTTCTCGCTCCACAAAGCTCATACATGGAGGTACACATATTCTTCTTCTCTCCAATCATAATATATGTTCATCTTAACGTGCTAACAAGAGGCTGTAAGGCTTTTGAAATGAAATACTAGGTAGGAGTTGGATCCTTGTTGTCCACATTAGTCTAATAAACCGTTTATTTTCAACTCAAGGTAGGCTTAACTGTCATTGCTCACACTTCAAATCCAAGAAGATCTTGTGCGTGGCATTTTTTAAGAAATGTATTGCATAGATTATTCATGTTTCCATGTAAACAGTTCAAGCTTTTAGGATAGTTAGTTCATGACACAATGAATCTTACATTATAGTGAAAGACAAGGACAAGATAGATTGTTTTTGTTATCAAATAACTTGGCAAGAGCTATACTGCACTCGTTAATGGTGTAATGTGTTTTTTTGTCTTTGTTCAATACTATCTGATACCAATACTGGTATTTTGGGCTCTATTGATAAATATTCCATCGCATTACTTCAATTCTGGTTCGCTTCTATCAGTGTACATGACACAATCCTGTGAAGTACGGATACTCCATTTTAGATAAAGTACCGGTACAAGGTACGTATCGGGTACCAGTACTCATGCGGTACGTGTACGGTATGCACCGAAGCTGTACTAATTTTTTTGTTTTATTTTTAAGTCGGTACACCAACCGGTACACATTTGGTACCACGTACCAACTTTTTTTAATTTTTGTCGGATGGTATAATTTTGGCTTTTTTTACGGAGCAAAAATTAGGTAAATTATTCTATTTATAAATAAAAAAGTTCTTTCACAATCGAGTTTTTTCATCTTCAGCTGAGAAAAAGTGGAGTACATATGAATTTATTCACTCAATGAAAAGGAATAGGCTCAATCCAAAGAGGGTTGAGGATTTAATTTTTGTTCATACAAATCTCCATCTTCTCTCGAGAAATAGTAAGGTTTTTAATGATGGAGCAATAAAAATGTGGGATATTAGTGGAGATGAATGAGATTTATTTGATTGAGTTGGTATTTTTGAAGTTGCTAGTCTTTGTCTTGATTAACCTGAACTAGAAGCCGCTCTTTTTAAAGATATTGGAGAGGAAAATATTGATATTCAGCCATGATTTCATGATTTATTGATATTTTTTAAGTGTGATTTATTTATGTTATTGCGTAGATATTAACTTTTTTTAAGCAAATTGTTTTTTTAATTTTAATGTTTTGTTGTTATTTAAACGATATAACTCTTGTTATTTTTATAATTATGTTTAAAAAAATTATACTAACGTACCGGTATCCTAGTTTTCCTAAAAGTGCCGTATTCCGTATCAGTATCTAGTATCTGTACCGGGTACTGGGTACGTACTCGTACCTATGCAACACAGACACAATCTCTCCTAAAATACTGTTTCACAGACTGCTATAAAGCTATGCAATTAAAGCACCATCAAGAATAAGCTTCTTTGGAGTCTTGATTAGGCCGTCCTTCAAAGAAAAAATGAAGAAACTGTGTGAACAAAAACAGGAGAAAAGATGCAAAAATGATTGATGTGTCAATTATTATTTTAATATTTGTGTTTGTATCTATATTCTTATTCTTTTTATTGTTATTTCTGTCCCTTTAATTGCTATCATTTTGGTGTGGATAAAAACGAACTCTATCACTCACATTTGATGAAGCAAAATTATGGAAATCATGTCGGGGAAAACAATTTGTTTGCATGATTAATATTGATGTGACTTTTGAAATGATAGACAATGAGATTAGCTAAACTTCAAAACTAGAAATAAACCATAACTAACTATAGCATACTTTTCAGACTTAAACTTTACAAGAAATTAAAGGTACGATGTTTCAATAACTTCAGGTTTTCAAAGTTTCCTTGCATATAAGTCAAAATAAGATTAATTTAACCAATCTTCATCCTAAGACTGTTGAGTGTAGGTACTAGGTACTGACTGACCACCCAGAGAATATGATTTTCATCGCTATAGGGAATTGTTATGGTTACTTTATGTCTTGTTTTTTACATCATTTTTTTTTGTTAGCAGGAAGTACTTGATATAATATTTCGGTTTTTGGTCTTAGGTGTTCGTTACTTGGAGAAAGCTGTCTTTAAACTTGACTATGGCCAACTCAAGTTAGTGTTCCACGCTCTCGAGGAGCGTAAACAGGTTATTGACAATGCACCACACCTATGCAATGCTTTACCTTGCATGACACCGTGTTTTGACTGGTTTGAAGTAGTGTACTACTGGATGGGCTTGAAAATGTACGATCTGGTAGCAGGAGCACGACTTTTGCATTTATCAAGATATTATTCTACAAAAGAGTCCGTCGAGCTTTTTCCCACTTTGGCAACAGAGGGAAATGGTAGAAGCCTCAGAGGCACAGTTGTTTATTACGATGGCCAGATGAATGATGCACGACTTAATGTTGGATTGGCTTGCACAGCTGCATTGGCTGGTGCAGCAGTGCTGAACCATGCTGAAGTTGTATCCCTATTGAAGGATAGTGTTGGTGAACGGATAATTGGTGCACGAATTAGAGACAATTTAACTGGTAACACCTTTTTTTTCTTCTTCTATTTGTTACCATTGACCTCTATTGTCTAATACATTTTTCACTTTTTTGGTTATAGCATATCTGATCGACTACACGTCTTGATAGACAATATAATTAAGACCTTATTCTATAAGCACTTATGACATGAGAGTGATAGATTCTGAATAGTATTTGGAGGTCTACTAACAGAGAGTTTGTGTTATAAGAGCTTATGGCATAGTTGATTTTCATACACGTATTTAAGAATCTTATTGAAATAAGCTCAAAAAATCCTAAAGATAAAGTCATAAGCTATATTATGATTTTAATCTAATGCCTACATAAGTGATAATATATGCCATTTAAGCTCCACAAAAGCTTTTCCAATGCTCTAGCGGAGTCAGGGTGTGGATATTGAAGTTGTTGATGTGTGAGGGACCCACAATGAGTCGGACCCTTTCATAGACCAGCTTTACAGCATAAGATTGTCCTTTATATCTGATTGACTAAGAGACTAGACAATGTATGGAAAACACACAATCAGAAGAACTATTTCTTAGAAGTATAATCTTTTTTTTGCACACTTATTATTATTCACAAGGTTGCCTAAATACTTAGCAGTTGCTTAATTGCATAAGGAAATTAGCTACTCTTTCACATGTGAATTGAGTGACGATTCGGTTGTGGATTGAGTATAATGAATACAGTTTCCTTACTAGTATGTTTCAACAGTTCCCTTGTTAATTTCTTTGATTTATTACTTGGCATGATGCAGGCAAAGAGTTTGATACATACGCAAAAGTAATTGTGAATGCAGCTGGTCCTTATTGTGATTCAGTGAGGAAAATGGCTGACAAAAACGTACGAGATGTGATTTGTCCAAGCAGTGGTGTACATATTATACTCCCTGATTATTATTCTCCAGAGGGTATGGGCTTAATTGTTCCTAAAACTAAAGATGGGCGTGTTGTTTTTATGCTTCCTTGGCTGGGAAGAACCGTTGCTGGAACTACAGATTCCAACACTGCCATTACTTTTCTTCCAGAACCACATGAAGATGAAATACAATTTATATTGGACGCCATATCTGACTACCTTAATGTTAAGGTATGATATAGCTTCTATACAAGGTTACTTTTAATTAACTAATTTTTTTTTTCTTTCCAATGTTATTTGCAGAAAAATTGTTGAAATAAAACGATCCCCTGGTTATTACGCGTGTGGAAATAATTGTGTATAATCTCAGGCCAAACTCATGATAGTATGCTGCATCATATATCTGTTAGCTCTATTGCTATTGTGTTCTATCATTCAATTTGTAGAAATGGGAGCAGCCCTGTCTCACTGCCCTTGTTTTTCATTTAACTGGGTCTGTCCTTGTAAATACATAATTAAGTCCAAGAAAAATAATCTGTGTGAGCTGTCACACAATCCAGATGTCCTTTTACTTTATACTTTTTTCCCTTCACGGTTTTTTTGTTAGTAACAAAATAATGCTTGGAAAATTTAGGTCCGACGCTCTGATGTTCTTTCTGCTTGGAGTGGAATCCGGCCACTAGCAACAGACCCATCAGCTAAAAATACTGAAAGCATCTCCAGGGATCATGTTGTCTTTGAAGAGCACCCTGGTCTGGTCACCATCACTGGTGGAAAATGGACTACCTATCGCAGGTAATCATTCTCAAGTTGAAGGTTGTCGAAGTTTATCCTGGCGTTTCTCCAGCTAGGCATATTACGATCATATAATATCAACCATAATGTTAATCCATTTAAAAAATATTTACTTTCCTGCTTCATTCATTAGAGTTTTTCCATTTCATTGTTCCATTACACTGTGTTTCAGCATGGCTGAAGATGCTGTTGATGCAGCTATAAAGGCTGGGAAACTGGCCCCATCCGGTGGATGTGTGACCAACAACCTTAGGATTCTTGGTGGTGAAGGGTGGGATCCCGCATCTTTTACAGTTCTCACACAACAGTATGTGCGCATGAAACTCACACATGGGGGAAAAGTTGTTCCTGGGGTAATGGACACTGCATCAGCAAAACACTTGTCTCATGCATATGGAACATTGGGTGAACGTGTGGCAGCCATTGCTCAGGTTAGCTTCTATAAATTACTTAAAACATGTCTAGCTTGAAAAATCAACAGAAAACATGTGCATGCTTTATTAGTGGTGATTATTTTTCTATATGAGCAATGTACAACGGGAAGGATTGTATTAGTTATACATTATGTGTTGTATGTAGAATGAAAATTTGGGTAAGCGGCTTGCCCATGGCTACTCATTTTTGGAGGCCGAGGTGGCTTATTGTGCTCGTCATGAATACTGTGAATCAGCCATTGATTTCATTGCAAGGAGATCTCGCCTGGCTTTCCTGGACACCGATGCAGCAAGACGAGCATTACCTCGGGTGATTCAATTATTGGCAGCTGAACACAAATGGGACAAATCAAGGCAGAAGGAAGAGCTTCAGAAGGCTAAAGATTTTTTGGAGACTTTCAAATCCTCCAAAAATGCTCAGTTTTATGATGGGAAGCACAACTGATAAGTACTGTTGTTTGTCAAACCCAGAAATGTATAGAGAATTTCTGCTGTTGTTTTCAAGTTGTCCACTTCTGTTGAATACAAAAAGGATGAATAACATTAATAATGGTTAGTTCCAAACATCGTTGTTTTTGCCAAGTGTACATGAATTCAGAGGGTTTATCTAGCAACCCCTTTAAAAAAGCAATATATCATCTATCTTATTTGAAAGTACTAGTTTTATGCTAAATGTTTCAAATTGAGCCTCAAATTGTACACCGAGTAGTAAATTAGAGGGTGAAAAGTGAGTCCTTGGAAATTATTATAGTTTTTGATGTCATGGTGGAAATAATCGTTTTGTTTTGAGTTTATCGAACATGATTAAGGGGCGTTGTATGAGATGATAGGAAGCCCAATCACGTGGCTTTTATCGAGGTAAGCTTATCTGTCCCCATAATTTTTGATGATTTATGGTTTTAAATCATTTAAAAACCCAATCCTATAATCTTTTAATTTTCAAAAAATTTTGAAATTTTTGTTGTTTATTTGTGTTTAGTACAAAATGAAAAATGATCGGGGCAATAATGAGGTAATGCATTGCTGTAATGGAATTATGTTTTCGGTTTGGTGGAGAGAAAACTAACTTGCAATGTTAGCACTTTAACGTTCAAATTAGTGAGAGAATAATGAGTAATGTGAGAGTGATAATGGATTTAAATCATTAGTTTTTCTTTAGGTTGATTACCTTATATATGAAAGTTGATTGAAGTGTCTAGAGTGGATTAGATGTGGAGCTTTATCTTATTAGGCCTTTAGTTTATCCATAATAATATCTCCAAAGACTTCTTGTAGCATTGCAACGAAAAAGCCTTTTAGAGAAGTGGGTCGGGTTCCTAACACCGGGGTCGCTGCTTGGAGACGTGGAAGAGGTTTGATAGCCGTTGTGTATAACTCAGAGAACAAGTGTTTTAAATGATAGTCTCATCATTAAGACGTTTCATAGGATCTTTATGACATATGGCTCTAGGTTTCTAGACTAATTTGTGACACCTCCTTATAGGATGCTCAGGTGCACTCAAATGTCGTTGCACTCTCGAGGTGAAATCCAATCGTTGTTTTTCACCTCCCCTTTTCCTTTCATTTTGGGTAATCGATTAGTCTGCCTTGCTTCCATATACAAGGATCACTTAGTGTTTCAAACATTCTTTTCACTCTTTTGTGCAAACCGCAAGTTTCTTCTCTTCTACAAATTTTGATTTTTTCCCCCTCTAAGCTCAGACGATACCTTATTCTATCAACCTCTGATTTTTTTCCTCTAAGCTCTAGTGATACCTTATTTTATCAACCTCTTTCCTTAACCGGACCCTTCATTTCCTAGTTCATCACAATCACGACGTCACCTTCCTTTAACAAATGTTGCATCCATTTTCAGCTCCTTCAGGTGCCATAATTCTCTTTCTTGTTTATAGTTCATTGTTCCTCTTTCATCGTTTTAGTTAAGACCAACATAGGAGATGTACATACAAATATAATAAATATACCCAATAGTGATTATGCCTTTTCTGCTACTAGGATAATGAACACAAGAATGCCAAACATTAAACCTTTAGAGGTTAACAAACCTATTGCAAATCTTATCATGCTTAATGATAAGGTTAACAGACCTATTGGGAACCTTTAGAGGTTAATGGACCTATTGCAAACCTTATCATGCTTAATGATAACTTTGGTTCTAGCAGAGGTTTTGTTGAAGATGGTAGTGAACCTTCTAGTTCTCATTCTGTGGGAAGTACAAACAATTCCTCCGAAGGCGACGAAGGGATAAACTATGGTAGTCCCATTGTTAGGGGTACAAATGTCGGTCCTTTCACTTATGTACAACCTTTTGTAGATTCGCCCTGCTGAGGTTTACTAGAATGAACATAGGACTCATTATTTTATTTATTCATTTAGGACAGTGAGCGAATGAAATTCCATCGAAAGGGAGGTTAGGGATCACATTGACTTTCAAATCCATTCCCAGATTCATGACCAACATTATCTTTTTTATGACAGACTAAGAAGACATGGTCCGAAAAGAGATCGGGGTATGACACCGCATGCAAATGCTTCTAAATACCATTGGATGGAGGCAAAATCCGTGGGGATGATCTCCTTTTTCAAAGCGTTTCCCATTTGTAGGTGTCGCTAGCGAAAAATGACACAGCGTCGCCACCGAATTTTATTTATCCCAAAGAGGGAAAGGGAAATATTGATAAAACCTTTAGGGAAAGAACATGGTCATCGCAACCAAGTTTTGGGTTCGGAAGTCGGTTATGCGAGGGGAAGGTATTAGCACCCCCTCGCATCCATCGTACTCGATGGGAACCATCTAAGCTGCCTAAACATGAATGGATGTTCTAGTCTAAAAGTCTACTTGCTAAAGGAAAGAGGGGTTGGTTTTTTTTATTAGAGTGCTCGCCAAGGATTGTGGCCCTCGTGCCTACGTATCTTCACTTGAAAGAAGTGAAGAATCCGAGCGTCCGTAGTTCGTGGGATTACGAGTGAAAAAATAGGAAGTTTGCTCGCTAGAATCTCGCAATCCTATGCCTACGTATTCTCAACAGGTATGAGAAATCAGAGCGTCCGTAGTTTGGAGAAACTAGACCGCTGGTTGGTTATACCTATTGAGAATACGTAGTCATAGGATTACGAGATCCTAGCGAGTAAACTTCCCAATGACCAATGACTTGGCAGTCACAAGCCTTTCTAAAAAAAAGCCCGCTAAGTCGAACACCTAAAGAGGTGACTTAGGCAAAAGTTAGGGATCAAAAAACAAATAAAGCAAAAGAGATCCTCAAATCCTCGAAGCAAAATAAGATTTAGTGACCACCATGTCAAACATCAAAACATCAACGCTTTTGGAAGACAAACATGTGTAGAATTAACTAAACATGGGACTGGAGAACATCATGAAGAAGGGGTGGGTTAAAATCAAATTTTGAGCCTTATATCTTTTGTTTCTATAACCGTGAACCAGGACACGTTACAACCCTCAAAAGACCTAATTGAGACAGGGTTTATTCTGAAAGCATGTTACAGCAAGGTTGCGTAAACTGACTCCCTACAGATTTTCTAATCTTCAGCATTGGTGTCATTCTTCTTCCTATATCTTTCACACACCAACTAAATCAACACTACGTTTGGACTAATGGTCTGTTCATCACACACTTTCACATCATTCCAATAATGATTGATTTTTTTTTAAATTTGCATGAGAATCGCATTAAAATGACCATTTATAAATAAACAATTTAAATTGCAAGAATTTTAACAAGGAGCAATCAAAGAGGTCTGGATCACTCAACAGTCTGGATTAGAATCAAGAATACCTTGTAGTCCTATGGATCAGAGGCATTGTCATGTTGACCAAGGAATTAATCAGTCTAGAGTAAGTACCAAAGCATTATTTAACTATGGGGAAAATCATTTAACCAAGGGTAGGCCACCTAGAGGTTATGTGATTAAGGGAAAGTCCTTCCAACGTTCAATCAGCGTAAGTTAAATTGCTTCAACACTCATTCAGGAGAAAGCTACCTCAAGAGTGCATCGAAGCCTATCACTCCAAGAGTCAGTTAATCAAGGAAGAATCCTTTCATGACTCAAAATTCTGGGACAAGTCATCTCAAGGTCATCTCATGGTACAACGATTTCAATCTCTCTTTTAAGGAAAAATTCTCCAAAGACCCTCTAGACTAGGGCAAGTTGAATTAAAATTGGGGCAACTCCTTTCCATGCCTTCAAGCTTCTCAATCAAGCTCTACCACCCATCAACAATCTCCATTGAGTTCAAGACGAGTGTCGGGGAATTATGCTATTAGCCCACCCGACCAAATCACCCTTCTCAAACAAAAGCCTTGCTACAAAAGACCCTCATTCCGTTTCTGGAAACCTTCATATCATTGCATAAATCATCCTCAGGCATTAGTTGCATTGATTTGCTCTAGCATAAGCCATGCATATCGTATCATTCATCGAGCCTAACCCCACAAATTGAGCCTGGCATAAAAAAAAAGCTTTGAAAACCAAAAAACCAGTTTCCGTCTGGAAACTCATCTCAAGATACCAGTTCTCATCTGGTAAAATCCACTTCAAAGTCCAGTTCTCGTCTGGAAAACCATAAAAACCAGTTCTCATCTGGAAAATCATCTCAAGATACCAGTTCCCGTCTGGTAAACTCCACTTCAAAGTCCAGTTCTCGTCTGGAAAACCATAAAATCAGTTCCTGTCTGATAGTAAACAGAAAGTCAGTTCTCGCCTGACAACTTAACCCTTTGGCCACTAGTTCTCGTCTAGTAGCCTACCCTTTAAAAACCAGTTATCTTCTGGTAATTCACCCTTAAAGCCCAACCTCGCTTGGCACCTAAAACAAAAGCCCAACCATATTTGGCACGACCATCACCCTAGCTCACATATCCTCATACCCCTAGTGTAGCACCCCAAAATTTGCCCATATTTTCTTTTGGATCTTGGCTTATGTTTCATTGCATCTCATATTCATTTTTGCATAGCATTGTTCTTGACAAAGGATCAAAGCATCATGGTTTGCTTCTCAAGATAGGAGGAACATGTTTCTTCAACCTCAAACAAGGTTTCTTATTGACTTTATGGTATTCTCAAGTTCCAAAAAGTCCTTCATCATAAAATATGATTTAAGGCAACATCATTTCAAGATTATGTATGGTTCACCATGGCTTATTGTGCAAGAAATCATCAAGAGATTCAAGTTTGGTTCAAGGTGTTTGACCTAATTTAACAATTTGTGGATGCTATGATCAAATGGACATAACTCCTTCATTTTTCAACATCTTGAGGTGGTTATTTTTCTAATGAACTCTTCTCATCATCTCCTACAAGTTCTCTTTGCAAGGAAAGATTAAATTATGATTGGAAGGTCATCAAAAGTTTGAAGACATTATATGTCATTTTGAGTTTTGGAAGGAATTTCTAGTCAACTCCAAAAGTTCATCATTTGAAGCCCAT